GTGTACCAGTGGTATGAACGCTTTAAAAGTGGTCGTGAGACTGTTGAGGACGATGCTCGTCCTGGGAGGCCATCGACATCGAAAACTGATGAAAACGTCGATGAAATCCGACAATTGTTGATCGAAAATCGCAAATTGACGATAAAGGAGATAGCTGAGACCACCAACATATCATTCGGATCCGTACGCGAAGCTATCCGCAAAAAAAGACCTGCTTTGTGGGGCAACAACTCGTGGATTCTCCATGACGATAATGCGCCATCTCATAATGCGTTGATAATTCGTGAGTTTCTCGTCAAAAACAACACCAATACCATTCAACAATCGCCCAATTCACCTGATCTGGCACCATGTGACTTCTTCCTATTCGATCGACTCAAAAAACCACTACGAGGAACTCGTTTTGAGAGTGTGGAGGCAATAAAGCTAAAATCGTTGGAGACACTAATGGCTATACCAAAAACCGACTTCCAGAAAAGCTTCGAGGGGTGGATCAAACGCTGGCACAAGTGCATCGCAGCCGACGGGGACTACTTTGAAGGGGACAACTTGAATTTTGAAGAATAAACATGTACTTTTCTTTTTATGAATAAATTCCGGTTATTTTTTGATCATGGTAGTATGTTCGGCCAGAAAATTTAGCTTTTTCACCAGCGGTATAATTGCTTAAATACTACAAAATCACCTCAACATGATTTTCAAGCTCATGGTGCTTTGGTTAATAAGCGATGTGAAGAATTTAAAATATCGACGATTACTGCGGATCAGTTTAAATGCTTGATATTTGTATGTAGCCTTCGTTCAGCAGCGGACGCTGACATTTGTAACAAGTTGCTTCATTTAATTGACACTAAGCCAGATTCACTTACAATCGAGGATTTAGTCATTGAATGCCAGCGTTTGGTTAATCTAAAACAAGACACTTTGTTGGTACAGAATTAAAAAGCAGACTTGAGTACAGTTGCTCTTGTTCAATCAAAAAACATGCAAAAAAAGAGAAGTTTCAGTTTAATTAGAAAAACAAGGGTAAGAAGAATGACAAAAAGAATTCATCCGGTAAAAAACCTTCAACTCCTTGTTGGTTTTTTCTTCACTATTCTACCTAAAGACTGTACTTTCAAGTCGCACAAGTGTCAGAGATGCAAAACCGTCGGTCACAAAGATGGTTATTGCGCAATTAAAACTAAACATATAATATAAGATACGCTCGTTAATATAACAATAAAATATGATAAAATAACAAGATCTGTTTTCAGCTAATAGAAGATCTTTAAATTTTTTATTAATAGACAGTGATATCAAATAAAATATGGAATGATATCAAATTATAAATTACAAATTACAAATAAACGTTTCGGCTCTCACTTGAGCCCTCTTCAGTATTAATTCGAAATTTATTCACGCCATATCGCAAAGAAATGTAGATGATGTTGAGTATAATCTTACAATATGGAAGTCCAACGTGGGATGTAATGTTAAAATTTAGACTTCCTGAAAAAGTCAATAGTTCAAAGTCACGCACAATCTCACAATATAGTAGTTAGCGTATAAACACAAACTTACATCTTCGAAGTCAAGAATCAAACACTGAACAGAGGAAAAAGGCAACGGTTTATATATGTATAAGAGTCCCCACTATCGTAGCAAGTCCGTTGAGATTTGAAATTAGTTGATATTAGTTCATTATTTACCACTGTTCCAATCGAACTTGCTATAAATGGGTTAAAGAATAGATGGTCATACATTTCCAAAAACACTAATATTCCGCTGGAAGAATTTTTGATTGCGATTACTTTTGTACTTTCCTCTACATATTTCACCTTCGACGATGTCATCTACAAGCAGACCTTCGGCACTCTCATGGGTTCACCTTTGTCCCCTCTCATTGCGGATTCTATTATGCAAAATTTTGAAAACAAAATCCTTAATAAATTTTATAATTCAATTCGTTTTTATTTTNGCTATGTAGATGATATCGTTCTGTCAGCTCCAGCATATTTTATTAATGACATTGTACGCTTTTAATACATTTCATGACAGAATAAAATTTACCATCGAATTGGAGGATAACCGTTGTATAAACTTCTTAGACTTATCGATTCATGTAGTGAACAATAGATTAAAGATAGATTGGTTTCACAAGAAGACCTTTTCTGGTAGATTCCTGTCATTTTTTTCCCACCACCCTCTCTGTCATAANAAGGGCACAATTTTCAGCCTTATTGACCGCGCTATTTTATTGTCGCATCCGGATTTTCACAAGAAAAATATCATTTTGGTTATTAATATTCTTTTAGACAATGGTTACCCTCTAAATTTTGTCTTCGATAATATTAATATCAGGATCAAAAAATTCATCTCTAAAAAGATTAATAATTCTCTCAATTTCAATCGGAATTCTCTTAACACTACTAGAAATCTGATTGGGTATTCCTGTACATTCAGCCAATCGGTTGCAGCGTTGGGCTTTACAGTTACTTTCCTATGACTTCTAGATAGAATATATCAAGACTGCGGAATTCGGTCACGCCGATGTCTTATCCAGACTTATAGACCAGCAGATACGCCCTAAGGAAGATTTTGTCATTGCCTCTGTTTAACTTGAAGATGATCTGTCTTTTGCCTTGCAAGAGTTTTTTCAAAAAGGACCTGTTTCTCCTATCATTTTCCAGATCTTTGAGGCGACCAAGAAAGATGATATTTTACAAGAAGCGATCAAGTACGCATTTACTTCATGGCCTCAGATTGTTGACCAGAAGACTTTGCAACCTTATTTCCGTAAGCGACATTCGCTATCAGTGGTGCAAGGTTGTCTCGTATTCAACGACAGAGTCGTCGTGCCATTCTGTTTCCGTTCTCAGATCTTGAAACAGTTACATAAGGGTCATCCTGGTATCACACGGATGAAAGTTTTGGCGCGTTCATACTTCTATTGGCCAAAAATTGATGCCGATATTGAATGGTTTGTCAAGCAATGCAGAAATTGTGCTTTTGCTGCAAAGGCTCCGGTTAAGGTTCCTTTGCAAAGCTGGACTCAACCAACGGCACCTTGGCAGAGAATACACATTGATTATGCTGGACCGTTAAATGGAGAATACTTTTTTGTCTTGGTAGATGCTTTCTCCAAATGGCCAGAAATCATACCCACTCAGTCAATCTCTGCTCAACAAACAATTAATATACTTCAGAGTATTTTTGCTCGTTTTGGCATTCCAGAAACAATTGTTTCAGATAACGGAACTCAATTTATTTCAGAGAAATTTCAAACATTCTGTTTGACAAATGGAATTCAGCATTTGCGTAGCCTTCCTTTCCATCCTAGTTCCAATGGTCAGGCCGAACGTTTTGTGACACTTTCAAACGAGGACTCACTAAACTTCAAGCAGGAGGAAACAATAGCTCTTCTACAATAGAATTTCTATCCGTTTTCCTTCAATCCTACAGGTCCACACCAAATCTAAATGTTCCAAATAAGTTGTCTCCAGCCAAAGCACTTATTGGAAGACCAATCCGAACAACGTTGGATTTAATAAAACCCGCCGAGTTCCTAACGGAAATCAGCTGAAACAAGAGATACAATATAATCGGAAGCATAGAACTAAGTTTAAGGAATTCATTCCAGGAACACAAGTTTACGTATAAATTCATTCAATGAATAAATGATCTTGGATACCCGGCGAAATCATCAAACGCATTGGTAAGGTCATGTACAATGTCCTTGTACCAACTCGTAGACGACTAGTTCGCGCGCACACAAATCAGTTAAAACTGAGACACAACAACATTAATGAAAAAAAATTTCCTGAGATTTTCTTGAACGTTTTTGACCTCACGGACGCTTCACAACAGACACTGCACGCTCCGCAAGAATCACTTTCACCACTGCAAGAACCTCCACAAGAATCACTTCCAGAAACTCAGCGCGAGTGAGCAAGTGATTCTGGATTTAGCTGTTCAACCTCGACATCAAGTGAATTCTTCAAGACAAAAACTGAGAGAGTCAACTTCAACTGAATCTCAGCAAGAACACAGAGAGTCAACGTCAACCGAGTCTCTATCAGCTTCCGATCTCCCTAGGTCAATCCGGGACTTCGCTCGCTCAAGACGCAGCCCAATAAGATTTAAGGACTACGTTTGTCGACACTTAAAAAAAGGAAAGATGATGTAATCGATACGACATCGTATCGATACTGCTATCGATCGTTAATAGCAACGATTCAACAAACTTTCAATTATTAATTCAGTTGACATTCATTTATTCATTCATTCGTTCTTCATCTGTAAACTTGTATCTTTCAACGTCTAATAAATTGACTCGATTTATTTATATAAATCACGTTTATTTAGTTGTGTGTCTGCAACAAACATAACACTATTTTACTGTATTTGACGCCGAAGCACAGGCTGTGCTCTGTGCCCTTAAATACATCAATGAATTTAGATTCAACCGCTCGTATATTGTTACAGATTCGCGTAGCGTTCTGGAGTGTCTGGCATCCTCCGATCCCAGAGGCACTCACTCTACTACAATTTACAAGATAAAATCCTTAGTCTGTGAGCTCGCTACCCAAAATATGCAGGTTTAGTTCGTTTGGATCCCGGCTCATAAAGGCATTTGAGGTAATGAGATGGCCGACATGTATGCAAAAAAGTCACTTGAACTTCCGGATCCAGGAGTCACCGCTAAGTGCCCTGCAGAATTACTCGTCCCTGACCTTAGAGCCCGTTCCTTGATGGAGTCTAAAAACGTTTTGCTGGAGGAAGCAAGATATAAGAGTGAAAGGTATTTTTCCCGAAAGCACATTGTTCTCGACAAGCCCTGGTATGAGAGGTACAGGCGGCCCGTACCCAGACTCTTGGTGTCTCTTATTTCGCGCATCAGAACGTTTCACACTTGTGTGAACGCACATCTCGCTGATAAATCCATTGTTGAGAGTGCTTTTTGTAGTTGCAGTTGTCCAACTCAGGACGTTATTTTTTAATTGCCCTATACATAAAGATTCATTAGATCTCCTAGTCCTAGATTTCTTTCATAATGGCTTTAGTCCACCATACGACGCGGCTAACATAGCCTTTTCTGATGACATTGGTGCTATGCATGCTTTGCTTTCGTTTGTTGCCCGTGAAAAGTTATCCATCTAATCCATATACAACTCCTTTACGTTATGTGATAAACATTCTCTCATTAATCATTCAACCTCAATCCATCCCTATATCAATTCACGCCTCCACATTTTCATTGTCCGTGCCTCCGTATTCCGGTATCTGAATAGCTAGCCACTTAACCGCACTACTACCCAAGTGACTATCACTTAACGAATGAATTGAACCACGGAAGAGGAGCTCGATCGCCTTCCCGCGGAACCTGCCACGCTCACTATTCTCGATGGATTTTATGTTCTCCGCTTCTCCAGCGCCGTCCACTGGCACCGTTCTTCTGCTACCACTCAGCTGCTGCACTAGCTCCATAAAAAATTGCTGCTGCTGATGCTGCATCTCCAGCATTGCTTCCTTGAAAACCTCAGCCGTCAACAGGTCAGAATGACTCGGCACTTCCGGCCCATTACGCAGACCCGATATTTCCGGTTCTATCTGCTCGGGGTGTAAATCCGAGGGCTTGTGTAGCTCTAAGTGCGACATTATTGCATCAATAAGCTCAGTCCGGTCACCAATTGCGGAGAGCCCGTAACTACGAGCCTCTTTTCTAAGCTGAGCCAAGGATGCGCGATCTAAAGCCGTTCGATCCGCCATTGCACGAGACCAAACCCCGTTTTATATATATGCACACACAATGTCTCCCGAAAGCCACGATAGCCTCTAGCCGATCATGCACTGGACTCTGATCCCACTTCTGATTAAAATACTATAAGATATATGAGTGATTTCACAGTAAAATATTGTAAGATAAATCTTTTCTTCTTAGTATGATTTTAAATATAATGTGTGTGTGTCCGAAATAATAATGTTCTTGAGGAACCCGATGATAACGCGCACAAATATGCGACACTCGACAATAAGTATTCAACCGGCCGTTACACCCTTCAAGGTCGGCNGCACGTTCCCGGCACAAAAGGTGTTTTTCAACTTTCGATCACCTTGACGTTTATTTCACCCGACATCAACACCAAACTATGATTAGACAGGATGAATAACATGATATCAGATCACGTTAGATGATTCGACTTCTTTATTGAATATTTCACACTTTACAAATCTACACGTGAAATAGATACAACTTCAGGCTTATACCCTCGACGGCACGACACGACACCTGGACGGCAACTCTTTGCGTCTATTTGACATTACATTCGGCAAAACGTTCCTCTTTTTGTCTCTATCCGACTCGACGGTCGGCTAACAACTCTTCTCACATGTTTCGCAGCAATGCTACGCCTAGACTCAGGCCCGAATTCATAGTCGCTTCTCAAATCTTAGATGTCGTCTCTAATCTCAAATTTCAGCTCTCAAATCTCAAATCTCCAACCTTAAATTTGAATGTGAATAGTTTATCTTGTAATTTGGTAATTTGTGGTCATAAAGTGTACTATAACAAGTGTACTATAACAAGTGTACTATAACAAGAGAGAAAAACATGACATAATTGACAATAATAATATTTTTTCAATCTCCGAAAATTTTGGTATAGAATTCTTCTTTGCTAATTTGATAACCTAAACCACACACACATTAATTTTATTAAGTATTATGCCATATAAACTTAAAATAGAAGCAAAGAATATACAAATATATATTCTTTAATTGAAGGTTATGGTCTCTCATTGAAGCATGGACATAGGAATATAGGGACGGAGCAGAGTTGCGGGGGAGAAGCCACTGCGAGGAGGTGCGACGAGGTAACATGTGCCTAAATATGATTGGTTGTTGTTGCGCGCAAGCGCAATGACATACTTGGATTGTACGAAAGCAACGGGAGCGGGGAAAAGGATACGCAAATTAACATATATTCAATACATAATATATTCACGATATAAATAAATAATTATGGTGCTGTGCTGTGTCCCAAATTGTCGAAATAGGTCAGACAATCAAAATTGGAAACAAACTACCAATACAAACAGAAATAAGAAAATTACATTTCACAGGTAATAAATTTGTGTGTTATTTTAAAATAATAGTAGTCTAGTTTTAGAAAAGGTGTTTGATATTTTATTTGTATTCACATTTAGTTTTCCAAAAAATAATACTCGCAACTTGTGNAAAATAGTATTATTTTATAATATATATGTTGTTGTAATATATATTTTGTATTGTTTTATAATATATGTATTATAATATACGTATTAGTAAATTTAATAATATAATATAAGGAAAATATATCTTGGGTGTTTACGATAACTCAAGTTCGAGTTAGTTTTACTAGGACCGAAAATTTTGTAGACATGACCATCTGTAATCCGCATGATTCATGACAACTT